TAGTTTTGAGTATAGAAGGTAAAGTTATTTTTATTTTTAACATGAAAATTACTTTGCACATGGACTATTCAAAACAAATACTCGATATATTCATGGACAAATCTTCATTATATCTTATTAAAAGTACTTTGCTATAAAATATGATTTTTTATATGTGAAAGACATATAATATTAACTGAAATACTGCCAAATTATGTGAAGATACACACACTATATTGAAAGATAAAAGTATTATATCTATAAAGACTTTAAACGAGTACAAAGAGGTCACACGGTCAGTCAAATTGACTGAGTCTGTGTTGAGAGAGTTAATATTTGACAATATTAGTATACACAGACTTTTGCTTAAGTGAAGCATTCTGTGAAACAGATCATAATGGAATTGTAATTTTTCATGTTATAAAAACTAAACTAACAACCCTCGTAGATCTAAAAAATATTCATAAAATAAGCTAAAGAATTATAATGCCTTTCTTAAAAGACAGTGATAACAGCATTTTAAGAGTAATAACTGAAATCAAGTCAATAACTTGTTTTACACAAACTTCTATATTACACCTTCATTACTTTAAAACTAACTATATTTTTAATTGCTAATTGTTGCAATTTGGATTTTGATGAAAACACTAATACAGTTATTACTGGCATATTAAGTACTGAAATATTATATCTTTCTTTACATCTTCGTTTAATGGTTGGTTACATGCAATGAAAATAGCAGGAAGCTTGGAGAAAGATACATAAGTGTAAAAGACTCTTACAAGTTTGTTGGTTTTATATATTTCTTTATATCTTCTTTTAATGGCTGGTTACTTGTTAGGATAAGAATGGTAAAGTTATAAAAAGATATACAAGTTTGTTAGTCTTCAAATTACAGAAACTGATCACTACGAGTAGGATCCACTTATTGCAACATAGAGTAATTCTATTTTTTGCAAGGTGGTATTTTAAAAAAAAAATCTATTTTAACAACAGTGGTAGTTTAGTATACAGTTTAGCAGTTAAAAAAAAACTTTATACAAATCCAACATAAAGCAATTGACTCTCTCTCTACATGGTCAGTCAATTCGACTGACCACAACCATTTTGTACTTGTTATAGTTTCCATACTATAACCTTTATAATAGAAAGTGTATCTTCACAATATTTGGCAGACTTTTAGTACACATTACAAGTCTTTTGTATACAAAAAATCAGTACTTTTGCTAAAGATTTGCCTGTGAATATATGTATATATACCCTTTTTTTACTAGTCTGAGTGCAAAGTGATTTCCATGTTAAAATTAGAAATACTTTTGTTCTTGTCAAAAGTTTCAAATTTTGTTTGTGTAATCTCTAAAACCTCCTAAATAAATTTCAGTAAAACTTTATAGTTTATGTTATTTTCTATACCCTAACTCAATACAAGGTTAGTCAATATGGCCAACCTCGTAGCCACCTTAAAAAAAAAAAGATTACTCCTTTTATCTTTCTAGAATGATTTCAAATTGTAACATGAAACTATATTTGTCTATCCTAAATAGCTTTAAACTCGCAACAGTATACATCTATTTATACTTACGAGAATACCTCATGAAAATTCTTTTATTATACTATTATTATATATTTTACCTAATCAACTTAATTAACCTAAAAAGTTTCCTATTTTTACATTTTATTTACTTTTATGACAATAAATAATGATTACACATGAAAAACAAGAAATAAAGTACTTATCTGGTTTTCTTTTTTTTTGCTGTTGATGGCACTTAAAGCTACTTTTTTTTATAGAAATGGTCGTACTGTACTAAATAATTTGTATTTAATTAAATAATGCACCAGAAAACACAGAATAATAACATGCAAAAAGTAGATAAGAGTCCCATAACTATTACAATTTTTCTGGCTTTTTAACGATGCAATAAGAGCCACTAAAATACACCCAAGTTCATCTATACATTTCCCATGAGAATAAAGTTTCAACTGAAATCAAAATTGACAATTCTCTGTACAAAAACAATGTCATTTGATACAGTAAAGCACTGGCTTCTTATTGGTTATAAATGATATAGTATTGAATGTCACAGACAATTATTGGCAATTTCTGAAAGAGAGGATGTGATAGGTGGGTGTGACAAGAGGGGTCTGATGGCTCTGTAACCAAATAAGACTGAAGGCTATAAAAATTATGATTTGCCTGAGCAGCAACAACATTACAATGAGTAATTTACTTTAAACTTTGTACCTCTTGGAGGGGTGGTAAATAAATTAGAGAAGAGGGGATTCCTAGAGAGAAAATGTCACAATTCTCACATTCTAGGGGAAATCCATGATTTTTTTATAATATTGCCTTATAAAATTAAAAACATAAAACTAATATACTAACATATGGATTATTAGCTACATTTTTATGGTATATCATGAAAAGAAATTAGTTTAATTAAATTTTGAATGTAACTCACTAAAATCTTGTGACATGTGCAGAAAAAGATGCCAGTGGAGAGAAGGTTATTGCAGTTTCAGCATACTAGTTATATGTAACATGAAATAATTATTACACTAAGAAGGAGAATATTATATTTAACAAGTGATTGAAAAAAAGTTCAGTTTTATTTTTTATCTTCCTACTACATAAGCTGAAGCAGCATTACCAACAACTCCTGACCAACTGTTGGTTACAGCTTGGTGACGGTAGAGCTTGAGGGTTATGGGGTACAACTCCAGCTCCGGAACGTCACTGTTCGAGGGTTGAATTACCTATACATGAAGCAAAATATCTTGCAATTTATAAAATAAGACTCACACTGATATATATATATATATATATTGTGGTCAATCTAACAGCTTTTTTTTAACTTTTTGCACATAAAATATATATCCCAGAAATGTCTCAAATTAACTAACTGAAAAAATTGTAATATAATATTCGAAATACCTAGGGAACAGCAGTAAATGTGGAGCATTCCAAAACTAATCTCTTAAGTAAGACAGAACTACATACAGCTGCCTGTCATTCACTGAATTACAGAAGGAAAAAAAATTGAAAAACTGAAAATGAATACACAATATTATAATGTGATACATATCATAAATAGCTTGTTAATAACATAATAGTTATAGTGATATAATACTATCATACCTGTCTGGGTAGTGCAGGAGAACCACCAAACCACTGGGAAAGTGCCCGCCATATTGCCTCAGGCACTAATTCAAAGTCTCTGCCACGAGTTAAAATGGCATTTGTTCTTAACTTGCCCCCCTCAGATGTCAGAATGATGGTCTGTACAATAATAATACTCTTTTTATATAAACATTCACATTATGTTGAAACAAGACATCTTTTAGCATTGTAATATTGTGACTTGGAAAACAAAAATAAGTTGACAAAAATTACAGCATCTGTTTCATTATTCTTAAATAATAACAACAACAAACAACTCATACTACAAAGAGTAAATACCAAAATATATACCGCAAACTTTAAAGACTGTATATAACCAAATTTTAGATTTAAAACTAAAAGACATGAGAACAATGATATTTTCTACATATTGCACACTTGTATTAGAAATTAGAGTTAACTAAGTGGTACAAGAAAAGGCTTTAATTAAATATTTACTAACTTCTACATTATTTTAACATTAAAAGATGTGATAATGGCATATTGCATGCAAACCTACAGCAGAAACCAGAATATATTGTCAATAAAGCATTAAATATTTTACAGAAAGCTAAATAAGGAATGGACCACTGTTCATAATGACTGTTAATTCAAATTTGAGACTAGTTAGGCCAACAATCGCGAACAAATGTAATATGTCGCACATATTCACCTTATTTGATAACATCCTCAGAATAACCCCAGTAAAATAAAAGAAACAGGAACAAAGTTCGTATCTATCTGCTTCCATCTAAGGGGGGTTACTGCAAGGCATCTCAAGCAAAGTCTCATCTAGATTGGTCAGAGTGTAGAGGAACAGTAGGCCAAAGACCTTAATTCAGTAAAATGTTTTGAACTTTGACCAATGTAAAATTGTAAGAAAGACACAAAACTCAATTTTGTCTTTTACAATTTGTTAGGGCTATTGCAAGTTATCGTTTTGCAAAGACTTTCTAGATTGGCCATAATTTAAAGGAATGGCAGGCCCAAAGCCCTTTACTAAGCAAAATTTTTACCTTTGAACCTGGTAAAAATCAAAATGGATACACAAAACTCACATCTGTCTGATTTAGTCCGTGATAGTTTTTGCAAGATATTTTTGTGTTATGTCTCACTTGGACTGATTGGAATATAAAGGAACTGCAGGTCAAAATATGTTTTTGTAATGGAACAATGGCCTAAATAAAAAAATTAATATGGTGTCTTGGAGTACTGGACCAAGGAATATGTCCTCCATGTTACAAGAAGATCAGTATAAATGAAAAAAAATAATACTGTTGGCTTTAAGTCTTTTAAATACCCTTGTACTCTGTATTTTTCATAAAATATTGGAGATTTTCTGATGGTAAATTGACAAACAAATGTTATGAGCTTGTTTTCTACTTTTGAAGTTTCCTTACCTATTTTACAAGCCATTTACAGTATTATACTTTTAAATAGAAACTTTCTTGAAGGTTCTGAGATGAATTTTCAATGCTAGTTTGAGACACTTATACTGTGAAGTGGGATCTTACTTTTAACACATATATAAAGTACATTTATATAATTCTTATACTGTAAAGTGGGATCTTACTTTTG